TTTGTGAAATTACTAGAAGATTGTGAGTCTCCACTTCCTGGCCAGGCTCAGGTGGTGGCTGTACAGGAGGTTTAAGGAGGCTGGAGGTGTTGGACGCAGAGGAGGTGGTGTGCGCTCCTAAGGACGCACTCATTCCACCGCTTCTTATTCCATTACTATCCGTAACATCCACACGCATGGTAATCACTCCAAATGTCTGGACATTTGAAAATTTCAGGCAGTTAGTAAAACATTTTGTTACAAGTGACTAATTCATCTAATAAGGTCTTACTAATAAACATACAAAGTACATTTTGGCTCACTAAAGATGCAGAAAACGAACCTCTGTTTCCTCTTGATACGCAATTCGACGTGGAGTTTCTCCTAGAGGGACAGTGCGAATATGCAACTTCTGAATCTCATCAATGGTACCAATAGTAATGCCCTCACTTGTTGCCAAGGCCAAACTGAAAAGGGACATTATATCAATACAATATACACAGTCATGTGATTCTAAGGACTGGAAGGCTAAAAATCTCTCTAAAACCTACAGGCAAATTTCTATTCATCAGTTGGCAATCGGAAATTACAATGGACTCGAAATACATTATTCAAGAGCTATACCTGTTTGGATAAGCCTCAGCATTGAGAGGACACATGTGAGTTACTTCTCTCAAATTAACTTTTGAGAAAACAAGCTTGTGATTGGATGAATAGATGACAGTGGGTCGGTCAGAGCAGGCAAATACATTTGTTGAGGAGAGCGAGCGGAACCGTCTGAGAGTTGTTGGCTGAGTACCAAGGACAACCTGCAATGGAGGGATGAATAAACTTATTAAATAGTTTTCTTGAATTTGAAAGCAAAATAAACAACAATGATGAAAATTTAAATTAGTACTGCCTATAATATCAATAATAATAATAACAATAACAACAACAATAATGATAATAATAATAATAATAATAATAATAACAACAACAGTAATAATAATAAAAAACAATAATAATAATAAAAACTATAATGATAGTAATAATAAAACAATAACAGTAAGATAATTATAATAATAATAATAATAACATTAATAGTAATCATCAAGATTATAACAATAACAATAACTATAACTGTAATAATGATTACAATAATAATAATAGTAATAATAACAGTAATAATAATAATAATAACAATAATAATAATGATAATAACAATAACAGTATAATAATAATAATAATAATAATAATAATAATAATAATAACAATAACAACAATAATAATGATAATAACAATATAATAACAATAACAGTATAAAGATGATAATAATAATAATGATGATGATGATGATGATAATAACAATAATAATAACAACAACAATAACAATAATAATAATAACAACAACAATAATAATCATAATAAAACAGCAATAGTAGGAATAACAATAATAACAATAACAATAATAATAATGATGACAACAACAACGATTATGATAATGATTATTATGATAATGATAACAATAACAATAAAAATGCTAATAGTAATCACAAACATGCTACTACTGCTACAAGATCAATAAAAATAGATAGTAATAAACCATATCAATACAAATGATTACACTACTACTACTATTGCTGCTACTGCTGCTACTGCTGCTACTGCTGCTACTGCTACTGCTACTGCTTTTGTTATTACTATTGTTATTACTACTGCTACAACCATTAGTATTACTACTACTACTATTGCTACTGCTACTATCACTACTATTATTACTATGGCTACAGCTGCTGCTGTTACTACTATTACTGCTACTATTATTGTTATTACTGTTACTTTTACTTTTACTACTGCTACTCTTATTACTACTACTATTGCTGCTATTGCTCTTGTTACTAAAACTACTAAAACTACGATCATAACTACAAATTATGATGATGATGATGATGATAACAGCAATAGCCACCACAACAAATTGATGACCCAGATAATGCTTTAAATACATCAACTCTGTCGTTTGTAATTCAAGATGACATTTTGGCGTTTGAATGGGGGAGAGGCCATGAGAAAACTGGAGTAGATATAGACTAGTGAAAATGAAAGAATAACGGAAGCAGAGACTGAAGGAATAAAAGCTCGCCTCTTGAAATTACACTTAAAACAGAACTCTCACCTTCTTTTTATCTGATAAATATCCTGTTGCAGGTGCATAACTAAAGTAGAAAAGCTGTCCGTCTCCCATAGCACAAAGGAGGTAATGATGACCCTCAAACGTTGTCATCAGGATGGAACGAGGAATAATATCTGAGGAAAATGTACACATAAGTATATCTACACATATAAATATATTACTAATTTGCATACTATGGCATTAATCCCTAACTTGCTGCTCAGTGATTTCAGTGATTTATAATTTTATTATAAATTATAAACTTATTTCCAAACTTACTGAAAAAAAAAAAAAAAAAAAAAAGAATTTGATAAAGATTACATATCCAATATTACTGATAATAAATATTTGTTTGCCCTATTTGTAGGATTCATAACACTATAGCTGCTCTAAGGTTATTGAGGTGGAACTTTACCTGGTAACATAAGTGCATTCATGTATAAAATTATAAGCCTTATTGTTAAATGAACAAAGTTTAAAAAGTCCTCACAAACTATCTGATTGCATTATAGTAAAATTCCAGCTCAATATCAATAGGGTGGCCATAAAATAATATGGCAGCTGTACACTAATCAATGGGTAGCTTGTGAGATTTATACGAAGCAATAAGATGGAGAGGAAAAAAAAATCTATATATTGTGTATATGAATCAATAAATAAGTAAATTAAGCAACCTATAAATAAACAATTAGACAAATAAATATATATGCATATGTATATGTAAGAATGCATATATGTATGAATTATATAGACTTTCCATATAACATATTCAACTGAAACAACACTGTCCCATATTCTGGACTTACCCCCTCCTAGGAACTCTTTGGCATTCTCTTCCAGGGTTGGCAAAGCAAGCACACGAGCCGAAATGTCAGTCCACAGGCCAACAGCAACCACAGAAGCCATGTCTTCCTCCCACAAAGGAGACACATCTAAGCAGGCCACCTCATGTTCCACCGTGGTCCAACTGCAAAAAACGGGTAACTTTAGCTCCACATTTTTAAGCCTTCCACAGTCTTTTATTTTATGCCTATGAAGCCACAGGCCTTTTTTTATGAAATTTAAAATTGTGCAAGTAATAAAAAAATAACCTTTTCTTTTTATAATCAGAAAATACAAAATTGGGCTGTACCAATGGAAGACTGTGGATGGCAGTCTCATAATCCTAGAATCATTACAGTAAACTGGTTCAAAACTAAGAATTATAGAAGCACAGACAAATAATAAATGGGAGACTGAAGGGAGCCACTGAATCTTTCCCACATTCCAAACAGGGAGGGAGAGGGGCAGCTGGTCACAGAGTACTTATAAGATATGTATGTGTAAACACACTCATTAAATAGGACTACACCTATTTCTACATAAAAGAAAAATCATAAGTTAGCCCATTGATCAATATTGCTTTCTCTATCATGTATGTGTGTGTATATATATATGTAATTATATATATATATGTATATATATATACATACATACATACATACATATATATATATATATATATATATATATATATATATATATATATATATATATATATATATATATATATATATATATATATATATAGGGTATGGGGTATTCATCTGAATACATTATTTCTGTAATTAAATACATTGAATGCAAGGTTGGGGTGGGTTGTCCATTCACTTACAGCACCCACAGCCTTTAGTACCGTCAAGCCCCCCCCCCCACCCAAATATATGGATATGTTTTCATAAGCATTTCAACTCTTTATGAATGGTATATTTTGTGACAGGTGTTATTGTGAATTAACTTTTTCAGTATAAAGTGGACTATATTTTGCTTATGCAACAACAACTGAAACAACCAATTTCAAATCAATACAAATTTGAAAACAGTGCATGTTACCAGAGTGAAGCCAAACTAAAATAGTATTCTTATTTACACTTTTACAACATGTATTCCATACTTAGTACATATACTGTCCAATCCATATTAACATGGAATCTCAATGCAAGCCATATTTCATGTGTAACTATACATAAATCTTACATCTTGAAAGAAAAATCTCACAATATATTTCACCATAAATCACTGTGATTTTATTTTTTTTCTAATATTGACATAATAAGAGTTCTTTGAACATTCACAAACTTATATCTATGTACAATGTCATTATCAAATGCCATATTCATGAATACAACAAGCAAAATTCCATGAAGGTATACCTGGCACTAATTACCCACATATGCAATTCATCTGTTGGTACTTATTCCCTTGCTGCTCCCAAGAAATAAACAGAGGTGGGCTTTAACAGTTATTTGGTAGTCTCCTCATTCATGTACAAATAACATTAGCTAACTAACTCCAAATAACCCCTCTGCACCCGCTTCCTAAGGGGCAGTCACCTTAACCCAATGGCGCCAGGTGTACTAAAAAAAAAAAAAAAAAAAAAAAAAAAAAAAAAAAAAAAAAAACTCTACGCTCTGGCAAACAAAGGCAGCACGCCGACTTTGAGCGCGTGAGTCGGGGACATCAGCCCTAATCACTGCCTCGCCGCGCTTTGGCACGCCGCCGCCGCGTACAGCCGCACACCAGCTTTCAAGCCGTTTGTTTTCACGCCGATCGGCATCACCCGGCGTTAAGGGGTTAAGTGTAACCTATGTCTCAGGAATATGGCTCCACAAGGGGACATTTGACACTGAGTCAAAAGTAATTGAGTTGTGGAAGTGTCAAGAAAGGGTGGGGGTTGGTGGGTCTACCTTGTGAATTCTCAGCATGGGAAAAGAAAAGAAAAGAAAAGAAAAGAAAAGAAAAGAAAAGAAAAGAAAAGAAAAGAAAAGAAAAGAAAAGAAAAGAAAAGAAAAGAAAAGAAAAGAAAAGAAAAGAAAAGAAAAGAAAAGAAAAGAAAAGAAAAGAAAAAGAAAAAGAAAAAGAAAAAGAAAAGAAAAAGAAAAGAAAAAATAAAGAAAAAAATAAAGAAAAAAAGAAAGAAAAAACAAAAGAAAAAAGAAAGAAAAAAACAAAAGAAAAGAAAACAAAACAAAATAACACCAAAGAAAAGAAAAAAAGAAAAGACAAGGGGAAAAAAAATGAAAAGTAAAGTAAAGAAAATGAGAGAAAAATAAATAAGTAAATAAATAAATAAATACTATTCTTACTACGTCATTCAATACTTACGCCTCTAGTTTGAGGTTCGACGGCTGGATAGTGAGATAGTAGATGTGCTGTCCTGCTGCTGCTACTACTTGATTGTTATTTGCAGTCACAACCGAAATGTTGCGGCCTTCTGGGGGCTTCCACTCACATACAAGCTGCCCCGTGCTTTCATTTACCAGGCGACATGAACTGCCAGTCACCTGAAATTAGTTTAAGCACGTGAGGAATGAGACAAAACAAATAGATGTCAATAAAGTCAGTGTAAACAATTTCTTTAGTTTCTTCCATTACATATCTTATTTTCCAGTATATCTTCAGACTGATAACTTTCTAAATCTCAACATACCTGTAACAACTGACTATGTTTTACATTTGAAGACAAGAAAGTTTGTTGATCAGCTACAAAACCTGCAATCTCGGTTTCCTCTACTTCCTCCCCACTCAGAGTCAAAACCCTGTAAGGATATACAAATACTCAATATTCCTTTTGGTCACCTGAGACACAGTAGGACTTCTGATATGCCTTCATACACGCAGACACAGACAGACAGACAGACAGACACACATACATACACACATACATACACACATACATACATACACACATACACACATTCACTCACTCACTCACTCTAACTACATGAGTAGGCTGAGGTTTTAGTATGCATAGATACATAACACAAGTTAAACAAGGAAGGCCAAGTTAGGTAACAGTGGGAAATGAAGACTGCAAGAACAGATCTGAACAATGAGAAATATTATATCAAGAAGAACTTACTTAATGGAAGTGTGCCTGTGTGCTTTGGCTACTACCAAATTACTAATCATATACAAAGAGTTTCCACCGGGATAATAAAGCTGACAGCAAAAAGGAATATATTTCAAGTCATATATGACTCAACAGACAACCAATAAAAATAGTCCGCTCACCTAGTAAGGCCAACAAATGACAGGACGATAGTATTGTGGTGATTTGGTGAATTTACACTGAGAGACCACATCCCCTTGATGCCGTCCAGCTCTATGGATGCCTGCTCGTGGATGCCAATGCCATTACGGATAATACGAAGAGATCCTTCCTTAAAAGCTCCTGAAAAGTATAATTATAATAATAAATATAATAATCATAATAATAATAATTATTATAATAATAATAATAATAGTAATAATAATAATAATAATAATGATAATAATAATAATAGTAAAAATAATAATAATAATTATTATTATTATCATTATAATAATAATAGTAATAATTTTTCAGTCACAAAATACCATTAAAAAATAGTATACTCCATTCCCTCCCCCCCTTTCCACACACACACCATAAGCAAAAGAGATGAAGAAAAATCACTTCATACCTGAACAGGTAACAAGCTGTCCCTGGCCCTGTCGCTCCAGGTCAACCACCACCATGTCCACAATAGGGCCAAGGTTGTTGAAGGTCTGCATGATGACCACATACTGGCCAGAGGCATCAGCTTCTGTGTTTAGTTTGATCAGCTGTGAATCTCCCAAGCGAGATCCGACAAAGACCACACCATTATCGAGGTATGTCAGACATTCAGGGATGGATATTTCACCTACAAAAAGAAAAATAATAACAACATTAAGACTCCATACCTTTATGAGAAGTGCAGCCAAAGAAAACTTTAATATAATCCCCAAGTATTCATGAAAGAAAGGATACAAAAGAAAAATACATAAACTATGCTACATATAGGCATGTAATACAATAACTGTAACAAATATATATATATAATGATGACAGTGACATCTATAAACAAAAGACCAATCTGAAATATGCAACATAAAGATTCTGTTAGTCCATACCCAGCAATTCAACCTTGACTGTAGCCTCTGACCGATCATCTGGCTTATCCAGCAGCAGCATGAAGAGACGGCCCGACAAATCTCCAAGGAGATATCTTGAACCATTGGAATCAACCTTCCCATAACAAACTATGGTGCTGGTCTGTTTGGAGGATATTATGTTTTGTAGAGATATTAACCCTTTATGTTAACCCTTTATAATTAAAGAACTATATACAATCACTAGAGCCAGGAACAACATTTAGGTTTTTGCTTCTCATTCTACTGTCTTTCCTGGTTGGAGGGTTTAACTTTTTACATCTTTCAAAGAATACATTTCCAAATAAATTCCTACATATAATTGTTTTACAATATAATACATATATTACATGTATCATCCTGCCAATGAATATGAACTGTAATACAATATGAGAATATACAAGATACTTCAGCAATAGGTATACCTTAATGAGGGCAGGGGCTACTGTCACATGTGAAGTCCCAGTGAGGTAAGTGATAATTTCCTGGCCAATAATGATTGCTCCGCCATATGGCTCTGGAACAGCAATGATTGTAGAGGCCTCAGTCTCTACATTATCCTGCTTCCAAGGCATCTGCAAATGAAGAAAAAATATTTTCATTCAATCCACATAGCAACCACTATGAATCTATAATTCAGTGATCATACACCTAATTAAATCCCTCTTGGAAAGCTGTCTTGTGGCAAATATATCTAGCACATATAAAGTAGGACAAAACAGAATTTCAAGTAGTTTGTGATGTATCTCTTTTATCAATATTTACAAGATACTCTATTGACTACTGTCATCAATATGTATACTGTGTATTATTAATTAAATTTACTTTGTACATGTCATACATTTTCCTCTGATTATTTTCATCATTTACCTATCATTGCTCAATGTTACAAAAATCCATATGCAACAGTTAATTGGCTCTCAAAAAATTCTTACCTTGGAGAATTCCTTTTCTTTGAGGGAAATTTCATGAGTCTTAATATGTCTCCCATGAGTGTCTTGATATATTACAATAATTGTGGGATTAGAACATCCGTACAAGAACTCTATGTCTTGAATTTGAAGCTCATCAACTCTGAAATAGGAAATAATTGAAATTCAGGATATATCTCTCTCTCATTTCATGTTACAACTGTATTCAATTTTCCACTATAAGATCCTGCACATCTCTGTACCATACAAATTATTATTAGAACATCAACCTCTCCCATAATCTTCTACTATCAATAATCAAAGTCAAATTTGGTCCTACATACAAATGAGCATAGGGGATATGTTTCTCTTAATAAGTATTAATGCGTACTAAGTAGCAGGTGATGCAGTATGATGGTTAGTTCCTTCCTACCCTGACTTTAAGCCCAGCATGTTGATGTCAGCATGCCACTACTCACTCCCAGCTTAGTTAGCTTAGTTAGCTTAGCAAAGCAAGTGCACTACCAGTGAGCTATGCCACCTCTTTCTGTCCATAAGACAATTTAAAAAAGAGACTGCCACTACTATTTAATATTCACAATTTGCTCTGACTTAACAGCACCCAGCACACTTTCATTTAAAAAGAGATCATGAAGTTACTTTAATAAATCACAAAATATTTTTACAATAGAAGCAGCACTGAGAGTAATCTGACCTACTCTGACCACAAATTTCTACACCCAAGTTGCATCCTTCTTGTGAAATCATACGATCCTCAGTGTCACTTACACCAGGAGACACTGGATGATGTCCTATCACATCATGGTAGACCACCTCATCACACAGGGATGATATCTCTATGCCTTGTTAATTTGAGCCTGCTCTAAATTGTGCAAGTTGAACAGCTTGTTTGGCTCTGGCCATATTTGCTGAGGTGAAAGAGCCCCCTCAAAAGTAAAATTAAACTCTTTTTAGCCTCATTACCTACAATAGCCTTAAAGATGAAGCCATGAGCATAGAGAGCAGGGTAATTCTATTTTCCCTGTGCTTCTGATTTCTCCCTCAAGCAACTAATTCCCCATGCATTAGCTGCATGCAAACACACTGCTCTGTATGGCACTGGGGTTTATAGTCATCAATGGGTTAATTCAATTTGTAGCCTTTAAGCCATCCTATTCCATTTCTATGATTATACAGAAATAAAATGTAAATTCTTAGTAAAACTTCAACTAGTTTAATCAAATCTTACCTTATATTATAAGCTTTAAGCTCATTATTGTCTTTATCAAGAGGAATGACTTTAATGAGACCCTCATAGAGTCGCAATACAATGCAACGTGCCTGAGGATCAACAATTGCAATCATTCCAGTTTCACATGGTTTCCCTGTAAAGATATCAAAGCTATGACAAAAATTCTGATACATAAGAATGAAGAAATAACAAATATACATATATATAAGTATATACATATATATATTTGATATGTCAAATATATTCTTATTCACTACTTTGCTCCAGAGAGGCCTACAAATTTATTCAAAGAATGATTTTTCTTATAAAATGAAAGAAAAACACTTGCCAATCTTATCTGCTACATTGCCATGAGCTCTGGTTATGATCTCTAGATTCTCTCCGTCCCCAACACATTCCAGGATCATAGCACAATACCGTGTTGTCAAAATGAAGAGCAAGTCTTTTGACTCATTCTGCAAGAGTATGAAAATCATAATCACATAACTCATGCTTTTATCACAATTGAAACACAAATAAATCATAAATTCTGCACAAAACTTCATATTTTCCATAGCTAAGAGGGATACATTACCATAGGTGTAAAGAGGTTCATGCAGGCAATCTTGCCATAGATGGTGAGTTCTTTTAGAGGCCTCAATCCTTCAGGTGTAACCAGGTGGAGCTCCACTCTGTTGTTCCGAGCTACGACCAAGTTCAGGTCGGTCGGCGAAGTTAGGTGCCCTGCAAATACCAAAGAAAACAAAATGTTACAATCTTACTTGGCATCTATACATGCAATGGTTAGGATGGGCCCAAATTGTGGACTACAGCTACACATGCATGACAATGGCAGCTGATCTACATCCTGTACACCATACAGACATGAAGTATTATGGCTCTAGCAGCATTAGTTCTTGAACGAAAGCCTTCCAAAGTCAGCCTGAATACTTTTGATATATTCTTATTGAAAAACAATAATATGCTTGTCTGGATTTGAATATAATGGGGGAAAAATATTCTCCCCACACCTTTGGGTCATGCACATAACCTTAACCTATTCTATACAGTGACGCCGGTTTTGGCATCATGAAGCATCAATGGAATATAAAGTGACACCAATGTTGGCATCATAATTCAATTTTATCTTAGTTGCTGCTAAGTGGTCCCAGTATTCTGTTCTGGCTCTATTATTTAGACTTTGCATATTGGCCTAGAAATTCTATAGCTCCACCCACCATCCCTCTTCTCACCAATCACATAAATCAGCTAGACTATGCCCTACCCTCTACCCAAAATGAGAAACTATCATTGGCAGTCTATGTCACAGTTTCCCTCTCTGTGGTCTTACCTTTGTCCTCCATATCTCCCTATCCTTTACTTCAACCCTTACCCCTCCATTAGGGATGGGAGAGAGAGTGAGTTGAACATGAAATGAACTTGAGGCTTCATCAAATCTTTCCTTTCAATTTCAGGAAGACACATTCAAAGTTACTGCTCATGGGCGAGTGTCCTATACATGAGCAACACGTGTCTTTTAAACCATCTGGAGCAAACTGGTTAAAATTAACCCCAGCATTGCAGCCAGTGTTCCAATTTTATTGCCATGAAGATGACAATATTTCCTTTCCCAAATGAATGGTGCTACTTAAAAGACTTTACCATTAAAGGTTTTGGTGATAAAACCAAGACAGATTTCCATGAACTTTTGGGGTTTTAGAAGCTCAATTTCATGCTTTGGTTTTGCTAGACCAATTTGCAGCAGCACATGGGCAACAATTCTTAACCCATGAGAGAAAATGTCTTCTGGTGATCTAGTCCAATGAAAGTGTACTAATAAATAACAGCTAAATAATTATGAAAATCCCTACAGAAATGAAACAATTACTCAGACCAAAAACTGAGGAAATAAGTGATTGCCAGGGTGGTTATTAGTCATGAAACAAATTATGTTAAAAGGGAAAGAACAAGTGCAGATAGACAGCCAGTCCTGGCAGGGGAGAGACAGAGGTGGCTAAGCTACAAGTAATATACCTTGCTATCTTCTAGAATCTAACAGTGTTTCTCCGACATCTTTATGAAAAAGTATTTGTTATTAGTTATTAAAGTTATTTGGAGTAAAATGTTTGAGAAACAAAGGAGAGGCTGAGGAGGGTAAGAGCCCAAGGAATGAACCAGGGAGGGGAGTAGAGTCAAATAATGACTGTACCACCCCACACACACTGTACTCTAGCAGAAGCCAACAACTCTCTACCACAAACATTCTATCCTGAATGAGTTTGAACCAATTCAATTTTAACCATTAAACACAAGCCCCATCTTACTAGAATATTAGTGAAAGAGGTCTAGCAGTTGTTGTCACAGAGCCCAGTGGGAATGATAAGGGTAAATATTTCCAATAAGAATAGTGGCCCTTGCACATCTCATACCAGTAATGGGTAACGAACCTTCACTACCTCTACTCAGCCAAGACAGAGCTTGGACTGGTTCCTGATCTAATGATAAATCACCAGCAAGGTACAATCTCTATCATATCAGATGTATGTGGAAGAGGTTTATTGATTATAATTGAAATAAATCATGGAGTCCAGAGGATCATTTGACTTGATGGGAAGATCCAGACTTCGTTAAGACCTATAAGCTTACCTATATATTGTGACTTATATCTAACAGCCTTGTTTTGTGACCATAATATTATATTCTCACTAGTTTCACACACTTGGGCTGTTAACCCTATACTGACAGGTCACACCTAGTGATGTCATAACAAACTGCTCGGTCTGCGGTGTATGGCTGTACACCTTGCCATCACACCAGAGCGCTTGGAGTGGGACATTTGTCTTGATGTAGCAGATTCCCACACCCATAGTCTGCTAATTGCCATTAATTTCCAGAGTGTAGAATTTTTATTTATTTTTTTAAACCGTCAGCATTGGGTTAACAATTACCAATAAAATACTCTGGTAACACTGAACAGACAAAGACATACAAATATTGGAACTGTGCGCATTGCAACAGCAACATGTGAAATCATATACTTTGGGAAAAATGTATATAGGCTACATACTAACTCTAACACAAAACACCAGCAGACTCATCTCAAATGCTATTCAACTTTGGTGGGGTTGAAATTCAGAGTAAATATTTACAAAGCACCTTAACCCCTTGGTGCCGGGTGACGCCAATCGGCGTGTACACAAAGAGCTCGAAAGCTGGCGTGCAGCCGAACGAGCCGGCGGCGCGCCAAAGCGCGGCGAGCCAGTGATTCGGGCTGATGTCCCCTACTCACGCGCTCAAAGTCGGTGCACCTCCTTTGTTTGTTTAAGCGTAGAGTTTTTTTTTTCTTTTGTACAACCGGCGCCATTGGGTTAACTAAACCCTAAAGTAAACAGTACACAGAAAGAACAGATCAAAAATTACATCTATAAAATTTCCAATACAAATAGCAAAGAATCAAAACACATTATGGAAAAACACCTTTAGAACCTGCACTGGTTCCTCATTTTACAATAAATAGCAAGAATGGGGGCAGAACCCTGTACAAAAGTCACAGCAACTTAGATCGTTGCATATATTTTGTGAGATGGATTTGGGACTGTAAAGAAGTACCGGTACCCTATTTCCTCTTTAACTAGTGGGTAATTATGGGCACTTTCTAATATATTACCAGATTCAATTTACCCTAAACTTTATATTTTAGCCTTTATTTATTTGTGTTTTCCGTGCTATACCTATCAAAATTTAATATAATATTACTTTTGAACATACAAGTATTTTCTGCATAAACATTACACTGCCTAAATGACAAGCATTTACTTTACAAGCATACTACTTTCCTTCTTAACCACAGGCAAAATCACTCCTTCATACTGCTTTACCTGTGAATGCCAAAATGCCATGATCACGCACAGGAATATTTAAAAGTAGTCTTCCCATGTATTTTACCATCAAATATGGTACCAAAATCTCCTTTGAGAAAATATACATGGCGGACATCTGTCGAACCTTGCCTGGAGCACTGACGGTGAGAAGGCTGCTATAGTCACTTGCCAATGACATGATTGAGTATTTTCGTAATACTAAGTAGCGTCAATACCTAAATCTTGTGAAGAAAATGCCATGTCTGTGAAGTGTATTATGAAATTGCTGATCTTACACACCCCTTAATCCAATGGTACAGGGTAATCAAACTGTCTAATGCCATTTTCCTTGGAGTATTTTGTCCACAAATAGATGGCTCTACAAGTGCTAAGCCACCAAGGAACCAGCATATCCTACACATCCTAACATTTTTTCACATTTCCTTGAATTTTTTTTTCTTTTATTTTATTGATTGATTTTGACATCATGGTTACCTTAATTTTACTAAAAACACTAATAGTAATAAAAAATAAAGGTTAATCTTTACAGTATGGATGCACTAAATAGGGCAAATTGAAGATGATATTCATGTAAAGGACATAAGGTTATAGTCGTCAGCACAAGAAATAATATGCACACACGAACCATTAAACTACAAATAAAGGAAAAAGATTGTAGAAAGCAGCGCTCAGAGATTAAGTCCACTTGATCTTCCCAAGTTTCAGCTCTATCTTGCCGTGCATGCCAAGGTGAAGACAATGTTTGAAGAGCCCCGTCTCTACCCTCTCTTCGGGCAGTGCCCAAAGGCCACGCCCAGTCACAGCAATTTAGATAGTTGAATAAAGGTTGTGACATTGAGTTGTGGACTTAGTCTCTGGCAAGTGCGTCCAATTTGTAACGAATTATCAAAATAAAAATAATCTTTCCAAAATTCAAGGAAAAGGGTAAACAGGTGAGCTTGATAGGACTAGTAATTGACTCCTTGATGATTACGTACTTGTGGAGCCTCCTACGAGTAAAAAACAATCATTTAACAAAAAGACACAGGTCCACATGGCATGTATTCTTGCTATCCCATCAACAATTGGTTAACAATCATCTAGAAAACCTGTATCTGAGCTGAAAATACAACTTTTCTATAATTTGCTTTATAACTCTAATATACTGTGATGGATTCCCACACTTGTTACAAGCCAAAGAAAAAAAATACAATATACCAATTTTTCATCATCCTATTCCTTACTCTTTAATTAATTACTAATTAAAAATGTAAGAAAAAAAAATGTCAACTTCTAATTTCCTCAAAATAGCCAAATCCACACTCACTAAAGACCACAATTCCAATGACGAAAAGAAAAGAAGTCAAATTCCTTACACTTTAATTACTTACTAATTAAAAACGAAAGAAAAAAAAAAAAACGTCAACTTCAAACTTCCTCAAAGGAGCCAAATCCACACTCGCTAAAAACCTACAATTCCAATGACAAAAAAGAAAAGAAAAATGAAATATCAAATACACCCACATCCTCATCTTGCAGGAACCTCAAGGTCGTCGAGTATACACCGTAACGACAGCAATAAACGAAAGCAACAGTTAAATATGCACAAATAACCCAAAAATAACCCAAGAGCTTCTTTTTCCACACGAGAACCGAACCCCACCTGCCTGGCCACGGGGAAAAAAACCCAAAACACAACTCTTTTAAGTCCTTTTTAGTCCTTTTTATAGTCCTTCTATAGACGTGAAGCAAGGGAGGAACATACCGGTAGCACATGCCGTAACAGCAGTGGGCTTGTGGGCAGTGACAACATAGTTATAAGCCGCTGTAGCCATTTCGGTGCTGTGTTGTTTACATCTCGTGCGGGAACAACGTACAGCCTCGGCGCTA